AAAATTAACATTTTACGTATGGACTTTATCTAAATATATGCATGTGGCATATCAAAATAGCGGATTCGACGTTTAAAAATTGTACTTTTCACCGTAACCGTATAGCTTACCTGGAAAATGCATTTTTTTTTTTTTCGTCAAAAAACCGATATTATGTATATATGGGCGAGCATAATTTAGGCGCGTGACAGGTTGTGTTAGTTTACGTCGTGTTTCATTCCCCCTCCTCCTATAGATTTGTTTACCTTAAGTTACATTACCCTTCTCTCATAAGACTTGGAGGAGGAGGAGAGGTTCTTCTTAGGTTAGTTTACGTTGGGTTACATCATCGTCCCCCCTCCCATTGTATTATGTTAGTTTACGTTGGATTCACTTCCTCCACCCTAAGACTTGGTGGAAGAGGAGAGGTTCCTCACCTGACTTAGGTTAGTTTACGTTGGATTTACTTCCCCCACCCTAAGACTTGTCAGAGGAGGTTCTTCTTAGGTTAGTTTACGTTGGGTTACATCATCGTTCCCCCTCCCATTGCATTATGTTAGTTTACGTTGGATTTATTCCCCCCCCTCCACACCTCTTCACCTACATCACATGCGGTGTGGTGGGTGGGTGAACCGGGGGGAACCAAAATCCCCTTTTTCACCCTACTAATATAATAACTTTTTTTTGAAGTATCATATGCTGTTTCGGCGTAATAATAAATTTTATAATTTCGAGTTTGTTAATAAGTGTATAATTTATAGAAATATGCCAAATTTTAATGAACCGTTAATTTATTCGGAATATGTGAAAACGGTTATTGATAAATATCCTCAGTATTTCGATCGCGTAGCGAAAGCGAATAAATGGGATGATTATTAAAAACTTTCTATGTTACCATTATGCTTACAGGATCATGCACTTAAAATATTTGAATTTATAGAAATACCGATCGACAAATTTAATTTGGGAAAATGTTAAACTGTCATTAATAAATTTTAACTCTTACATTAATCTAAATTTAGTCAGAAAAAATTTAATAATGATTAAAATGTCTGATAGTGAGTCTATTAAAAAATGTTTAGTAAGGGAGGTAGCAGAATGTACTAGGTTTAAAGGTATCATGTCGGAAAAACATATCATAGAACATTTTTTAAGCGACTACCAGAAGAAATAATTAATACATTTAAATCATTAGATAATAGTACATTAGAAAAATTAATATAAAATATTTGTAGATTTAAAGAAATAAAAATTAGAAATAATACGATAGTGATTCAGAAATCTTGAAAATGGAAATAGATTCTCTTTAAAAAACATAATGGTAAATTTAATGATTATGAAAATATAAATTATGTAGATAACTAAAGTTTAATGACATATCCAAACCATAATCAACGTAGAGTAATGAATTATAGAACTAATAAATATAAAAAAAACAAATTTAATAACAATTTATTAAAATTAGACAATTTCCCCTTATATAGGGGGCGTTCAAAACTTGAAATATTGTAAAAAAAATAGATCCTTTTCAACTGAACTTTTGAAAATGTTCCGGAAATACTGCGTCCATTAAACATATATCAAATCAAAGGTTTTGTTATATACTATCAAATGAAAAAAA